ATTACATCAACCAGATCTTCCTTAGAAGGTGATAAGGAGAAATCACATTTCTCGAGTCTTTCCTGAACTGGTTCTAAAAAGAAATGTTCAGGCCAATCGACACCTTCAAATTTCTCAAGTATAAGACGTCGTGCCTGAATTTTATTCGATTCAGTAGTAATATGAGAAATTTTGGTAGCTTCTTTTTTGAGATGATCGGCTCCACGGACTCGTAACTTTTTTCGCAATAAAGTAAGTCGAGAACTCCCTGCGACTGGATTAGATGCGGAACTTCCCAAATCATATGAGATTTGTTTTATTTTCTCAGACAGATAATCATTTTCCACAATTTCTTGAGCAATTTTATCAACAGTATCCCTGCCTTCTTCACACTTTCTGGTAGGTTGAATAGGAATGAGAACTTCCACTTGTTTCTTGGTAAACCCTAATTGTTGAAAACGTATTTTGGCGTTAAATCTTACCTTGCGATCACCCTTCAAACTTTTGTTAATTTCCTCTGTGTATTTGGCTAGTTCGGATGATGGAGTTTCGGAGGTCCATTTATGGCGTTCCATAAAATCTGTAGCTACTTTTGCCATATTATTTTTACGACACTATAGTCAAGGATATTAAAATGTACTAACTTTATATTATGTACAAAAAAGTTAATCGATTTTGTTATTTACTGCCCTATAACTAAATATAGGAGTATTCTAGGCTGGTCTTAAAGGGACCGCTTCTGCACGAAAAATGCAAGGAAATAGACTTTGATTGAATATTATATTTATCTTAACTATACATAACTTATTCATGATATAATTTATTTTTTTGTAAAACATAATCTGCATGATCGCCTAGTATAATTGTGAAATGTACCACCTGCGGGATAAAAAACCTGATTTGCCTATTCTGGATAATAATTCTGAATTAGTGCGCTGAATTTTCCAGATCAGTCCTTGATCCAGATCCTGAATATTGTCTTAATAAAATAATATATTGTCCAACCATGCGAACGCCTCAAGGCTAATGCATGTGCGACATAAATTAGCACGTTTTCGATCCTCGTTAAAGTGCATATGATGTAATAAGTGATACACCGCCCAAAACAGCTGTAAATCTGTTTGACTGTTTGTGCGACAAATTAATTTTCACACATAAGCTGAAAATATTTATATAATGTTGTTGGGTCTTAGTATTAGAAATGCAGAAGTCCGACGCAGTATGAACGGAAGTTATCATGTGATCATGATCATTGATTAAAACTTTGGGGTCACAAAAATTGATTGTTTACCTTATGCCTGTTCACGATTACTTCAAACGAGATTCTGCGCGCTGGTGTATTTTAGATTTTTTAAACGAATCCATTGAGGAACCTTTCAAGCTCAAGATAGATACATATCTCAAATCTCTTGAGATAATTATGGATAATGAACAAGGAAAGAGGAGTGATAGAGCAAAGTTGCTCCATGATAATTATAAAAAAGTTAAGTTAAAAATTTTTTGTTGGAAATATTGGAATGTGTGGCGTGGCGAAAATCTCTTCGATTGTTCGTCATTCAAAACTCTTCGTTGAGCCACAAAACCAGTAATGGAGCGCAGATGACCTCCTCGCTTGTCTGTTGTTAAAAGACTCTTCGTCGATCCAGCACTGGACCCATTAGGGCACAGATGACCTCCTCGCTTGTCTGATGTTCTGGCGGGATCAGAAATCAAGTGGTGCCGGAGACGTGCTGGTTGAAGTAATAATACTAATTTTCTAAATTCTTCACGTAGGAACCTAAACCGGATAAAAGTAAAGCAAAAAATTGGGAAACGGAACATTCTCGTAAGCAAGTCCATATTCATCAACCAATCATTACAGAGAATTTGACCGGAACTATTGCTACCGGAACCATCAATGGCGGTATCATAAATGGATTGCCCATGTCAAAAAAAAGAAAATCTACAGAAATCAATGAATCAGATTCTGATGCTACGAAAATTGATGAGTCGAATGTTTCCAATGCTCCTGAAGACGTTGAAGATGTTCTTGTTGGAAACAATATTATTGATGGCGAACAAGCAGTAAAGTTATATAACTTTTCTATTTTTCTTCTTATATTTTTACATTGACACGTAATTCCTTTGGTCTTTTTGTTGAATGCACTGATAGAAAGAGCATAATCTTGAGAAAATCTGGGAGTTTAAAGAACCAATTCCTGGTTGGCTCAAACTGATTCATAAACATCGCGAAGATCTTGGCACCACAACCGACACAACTGATTTCGAATCACTGTCTCAAGTAGCAGAAACGTAAGTTCGCAATTATATGATTTTTTTCTAAAATCAAATGTATGGTTCTGAAATCTTTCTATGGTTAGTGCCATTTGGTGGCGTATCATAGACACATGTAATCCGAAATTAGCTGAAATTATTACGGAACGAGAGTTTTTAAACCTAAGCGAGAGTTTACTTTCCAACCTTCCATCGGACTGGGATGTGTTAGAGCCACCAGTTGAAAGATGCTTGCTCTCAATTGCAATGGTGGGTAATTGTGTTAAGCACCTTTATGCACTTTTCGATTCATAAACTCAACCTTGTGTGATTGTCTTCCAGTTGGATAAGAAAGGATTGAAGAAGGTGGCCAAGACCGTAATGCATCATGGTGTTTGTGGTGCTATAAATAAGATTCGAAAGGTTTTGACTACTTCGAACAAAGTCGAAGATGAAAACCCTTTCCTTGACTCCCCGCATACTGAAATCACAATTTCCGATAGTATTGTTCAAGATGATGATTATAAACACCCAGATGTCTGTTACACTATTGAACTTCTTCGCTACACGTAAGTATGGGAATTGTTACATGTAGCTAGTATTTTGAAATAACTAATACTCATGCAAACTAGGTACAATATGATCGATAAAAAAATACCGCAACGGGAAAATTCGGAACGGGATATTGATGTGATTTTCAAGTCCCACATGTTTTCTTGTTTTGATGACATTATGGATTTGCATTTGTAAGTTCAAACTGCTGATTTCTAGTTTAATATATATATTATGAACCTTTGTAATACTATTAACTAGTGGAGAGATGGTTTCCAGAGCTTCACGACAACGCCGTGCTCAAGCAATTGATGCTTCTGATAAGGCGGAGGGTTACCACTTAGATTGGCTTTTTACGGTATGTAGGTTTGTAATCCATTGTCAAACTTTAATGATTTCTAACAATTTTTGTTTATAGAAACATGATCTTGCAAAAGATCTTACCTGGGGGCGAGAATTTTCACTTTGTGAAAGAGCGGGGTCCAAGATTGAAAACGGAAGAAAAGTACTTGATAATACACTCAAGGTGCAAAAAACACTGCGAGATATGCATCAGACGTTATTAGAAACCTTGTCTAATGCAGGCGGTGGAGCTGTTCCTGTCAAAGTCGTTCAAGCTTTCCGGAAACTACTTCTGCCTGGATTTATCTCATCTCGGTTTTTTATTCGGGTCTTGTTAAATGTATATATTGGTGGTAAATACCATGGATCTATCGTGCTAACAGAATTTGATGTACCCACTCAATTTGATGAAATGAGCAAGATTGTAACAATAGCAAGGATGATGTTAAACGTTAAGGTAAGCTGGCAAATTCCCTTTAACATTTCATTTATTATTTTTTGATTTTGTTATTTTTTGTGCAGAACATTTTCAAGCAAACCATAAAAACTTTCACTTTGATGGAGGAAGCTTCCAAGAAGAAGAAACACTCTGTAGAAAATGTGTTGGTGTCATCGAGAGTCGAAGAGCATGTGAGTCCTAAGGCTAAGAAACAAAAAACTTCTAAAACTAAGAAACGAAAAAATTAATGAGTTTACTTATTGATTTATTGTTTGATAATATATTAATATACATGTATGTACCTATGAAATCTAAACGAAATTTTTAAATGCATTAATTCATAGAAGTTATTAAATGTAAAATAATACTATAATAAAGTTTTGCATGGGTGAGATAAATTGCTTATGTTAATCGGTCACGTAATTTTTATTTTGTCATGCGAATTATAAATATACACATCACGAAAAAATTTTCTGGTCGTCTCTCAGATATGTTGATTTTGTTATTTTTCACATTCCACCTCTGCGCAGACTGGTATAATTTTTTCTCGATGGCTTTCGAGCATATGAGAAGAAAGAGTGGCAAGTAGAATATGAAAGCATCAACTTTAACTTCAAACCGGCTGGATCAGTCAGCTCGAAAATATAAGTTATAGATAGGATGCATAGGATGCATGAATTGTTATGCAGAAAATCACATGATATTTCTTCTGTATGTGAGAAAACGGACTTCGTCTGAGAGGCAGAACCTCGTTGCAAAGCAGTCCACGTAACGTGGATGGGTGGATCTATTAATTCAATTCCAAAGGCGTGTCCCAACTTAATCTAATTGCGAGAGGATCATCAGTTGCCTTAGTAAAATCAAAGACCACAAAGTTCCGATCTCGCAAATGTTTGTCAATAATCTTAGATGCTTTTTTTGGATCATCCGTATATTGACGCACGATTCTGCATATATCTTCTCGAGATCCACTTCCTCGGAATATAACTAGATGTGAGATATTTTCACGAATTATCTTTGGTACAGCTTGATATTTTTGGGTCACATATATTGATGAAATATTTTGATGCCGTCCACTAATGAAGTAAGGAATAATGCGTTCTTGTATTTTTTTTGATTCAGCACACAGATCTTCGAA